ATATTATATTCAAAACTGTGCAATGAACTTGAATAGTTTGTGTAAAACGAGTGATTTGGATGATTATTTCCTGTTTTCATACATTTATTTGTCTGTATTATGTCTTTTTTATCACTTGTAACAATCATAAATACTTCTTCTAATGCTCCTTTTCCGACAAATTCAGCGTTTCCTTGTGCCTAATGCATCCTATGTACATTTTTTAAGTTTTCCTACACCCCTTAAAATCAAGAAGGCCTTGCAACCAACCCATGAAGCTTTGGCGACCCCTAGTGAGAGTCACGACCTCAGGTTACCACCGGTATAGAGATCTGGGCGTCCAAAAAACAGAATTTGTATGCACATTTCCCACAATCCTATGATATTTATAGATAGATTCACACATTTGGAACATATTTTTAAGGACTGTATTGACCCTTGAATTCACTTTTATAGTCATAGTCTGTGAGTTCCTCAAGATCATGGCTGCCTTTTTCTCAGTTAAAATGTTTCAGTAGTAGCAAATATGATGGCTTCCAGTTTGGGAAAATTACAGCTTTTTTAGAAATAAAGCCACTAAGAGAGTCTGAAAAGTCACCAAGCTGGTAACATTGAACAATTGTACTAGCACAACCAAGTTGGGGGAGTCACACCTAATGTTTTCATGCACAAATAGGAACTACCAAGAGACAGCGCTCAAGACATATTTAACATAGTATTGTACATTGATGGGCACTTTAATGTTTGGTTACGCCCTAGCTGTTTGATCTTTATCACGCAATCTTCCTCTGCAGATGGGGTTTGCCCCAGTCGTCTTGAAAATGTATACATTTCTTTGTTGAGTGCTACTTGTGGACCTTGTAAAGTCACTTAATACATTATCCATATAATATTTATTCCCTTATTTTTATAGCTTACAGCTTAAATTTGACCTGCACATAGAAACTGCAGTTTGTTATTGTTTATGTATATTTTTATATTCTTACTGATCTGTACATAGTAATAGTAGTTGCTGTATGTCTACATATCTTCCTGTAGACTTGTGCTGTATTTGTATGCTTGAACACACTTAGTTGATTCTGGTAGTGATGAGATTGCTCATTAACTGCTTTGTTCCAAGGTCAAGAGTGAATTTCAGTCTCAACTCTTGAAGCCAACATGGACGATAAGTCCATAAAATGTAAATTTGACTATCAACGGTTTCATGACAACTGGGCAAACTCCATCTGCCGAGGAAGATCGTGATGTGATCGAAAGCTCCAGAATGGCTACTAATGGATTTTGTTGTTTCCAAAGGTAAAGAATGAACTTTCAATCTAATAAGGAACTAATAAGGAGGTTTTGTTTGCCTGGTTCTGAAGTCCAAAATCTATTGTTTCCCTGGCATCCATATTTCTGCCTGCAATGATGGTCTGTAATTCTGTGGGAGTTCCCATGGGAGAATAATGAGTGACTCAATGCTTTTAAGCAAAGATAAAGAGCACACATGACAGAAAACCCCCACGCCATCTGTGTGTGTATGAAACATACTACCAAAATAAACCATGTAAACTTATAAAGAAAAACAGCCCATTCAACAGCGCTCCAATTTGTCAGTCGGAATTTATTTAAAAGGCAAACACAAGAAACGATGAAAGGATGAAATTCCAGCCACCCTGTTTTTTCGGGATGCTACACGGCTCGCCAATTTGTCAGCTCCACTCCAAAATAGTTCACAAAAGGGCATGCAGGCCTATAAAACCTCCCACACCGGGGAGAGATCCTGGTGAAAGCAGCATACAGTAGCTCCTGTGCCCCCACCTCCTCCTCCTCCCCTCCACCTCCTCCTCCTCCCTACTCCATGACTAAGTGATTTAGCCAGCTCTGGTGCAGGCCGCCTCTCACTTACAATGCCTCCCTAGGTTAGTGACAGAGCGAGGAGGGTGGCAGAGAAAGAGAGAAAAACCCATTTCCAATGCGGCTTACACACGGCCGTCCCCCCACAGACGGCGCCCATCCTCGGATTGATGTGTGGTATGCATAGTTTTTTGGGTGCAATTTGGGCACCAGAGAGAGGGAGAAAGAAAGAGAGGGCAAGTCTGTGTATGTCGGAGGGTGTAGGAGGGAGAGAGAGTGTGGGGGGGTGGTACGGGGCTCAGGCTGTCTGTTCTCTCGCCCTCTCTTTGAGTCAATAGTGTTCCGGCAGCTGAGGTTCTTTATGAGGGGAACAATCTGGAGGGTCTTGTCGGAGTGCCGAGCAGCTGCTGTTTTCTGGCGAGCTTCTTTCATGGACCACAGGCCTGGAGTGGGCTGGTGAATACAGACGCACCCTCCCACCCTCCTCCTCTTCCTCACCACCACCCCTACCTTCTCCAATTCCTCAATCCTCGCCCCCCCCCAAAAAAACCACCCCTCACACTGGAAGCCTCACCGCACAATGCCACATGAAGAGTGACACAGAGGAACATGAAGAGAGCAAGAGAGTGTTGTTATTGTCCGCTCCATCACCCGGGGGAGGCGGAGGGAGGTACCGCCCCCCCCCCAGAACAATTCTTTCATGAGGTATGTGAAGATGCTTTCGTTAGACAAACAAAGACGTTAAATAGCGTATTAAAATACAAGCCACAAAATATAGCTCAGACATATTGGCACCGGTGATCACATCCCTACAACCTGATGTGTAAGACATTTTATTTTTATTTTTTATATTTTAATAGATCACAATAAAACCACAAGCCTGATTCAGGTTAGATTGGAAGAGGCTGATTACAACAGAGCCTCTTGTATTTCTCCTGAGTGAGATTATTCATTAGCAGAGTAGTGAGTTTGCATTTGCTCCCTTTCTGTCGTTGATTCAGTTAGTGAGATCAGTAACACACACTGCCTCCCTTCTTCATATAGGACTCCTGTTACAACATTACATTCACTAGACTATAACTTAACAGTATGTCATTCTATTCAAGCAGCCAGTGCAGAGAGAGGACACTGCTGGCACCCTTTGTCCCTTGCCCAGTTGTCGGTGTGGCGGGTGCAGCAGTGAACCTGCACTGGTTGGCTTCGGGCTGGTGTTTGGCTTCAGTTTCCGACAGGTGTCTCCTGTTTAGCTGCTGTCTGAAGGCACCAGGTTCCCTGTGGTGTCCAGCTGCATGCATTTACACGTGCAGGCCGACACTGGGCACTCTGTGTGGTCTCTGTAACAGACACATGTAGGTAGATTAAAAGAACAAGAACACGTGGTTGAGAAGAAATGTGTAAACAATAGATAATACAGAAGTTTGCACATCCTGACCACAAGAACACAGAAGGCCCTAACAGGTCCGTGTACCTGCCATTGATTGAATTTTCAGTAATTTTGATAAAATCTCAGAAAATTGTTTAATTGCCTCTTATTGCCTTTGTCTGTAATAAATAACTATAGGCTTTCTTTTACAGTGCCTACCACTGAAATATTAGGCTCTCCAATGTGCCGAATATGCCAAACTTTCAGCATTTGTCTGATTCTTGTTATAAACTCTTGATATATTTGAAAATTGTCCCATTTTGCATTTTCTACTGATTACTTTTTGCTTCGTTTGTCGTTGCTATTGTTGGGTAGCGCTGTGAGCAGCCATTAGTTTACTTAAAGTCTGGACTAATTGTTTCAGGTGTGACGCACAGCGAGCTCTGTGGTTTTTAAATGTGTCGGCTATAGTATTATTATTACAATATAGAATTGTAAATCCAATTAATGGAGCGTACACGGACCATAGCAGCATGTGCAGCATTCAGAGCGAGTCCCACCTGAACCAGCTGAGCATGTGTCCGGCGTGGCCGCCGTGTCGACAGTTGTGACACCAGGTGAACCAGTTGTTGAACTGTGCGAGTTTGTTCTCCCTCGTCAAGTCCACCTTCTCATCTGACTTCCCCGTTCCTGCCAGAGAATTCATGAATCAATATTAACAAACAATAAAATTTGACTGTCTATCAACATTGCTTTAAGTGACATCACAGCAATAAGGAAACTGGATTGGCTGAGCTCGCAGGTGCAACTGCCCCTAAATGCTGATCAAAGTCCACACATTGTCCCCTGTCAATGTTCAGTTAAGTATTATAAACACTCCAGCTGCTCCAAGATGCCTGCCTGCCACTGGAAATATCAGCTGAGCATCTGTGTACATACTCTACACAGGCCCGTTTACCTGGGCAATTAGAGACAGGTGTCCCCATGTTCATGAGGCAAAGGGCACAACGTGGCAGCGGTTTCCTGCAGCCGGGGCAACTGGTGACTTTAGACTTGGTGGGTGAGCCGCTGACACCGTATTGGCTGAATCCGCGGCCCTGGTGAGGCATCGCCGAGCAGCTGTAGGAGATAGACTTCCCGCAGAAGTTGCAGCTCACAAACACCTGTCACACATGAACAAACACAAAGGTCGGTTGATAAGAGCCGGTGAACATGAAGGTAAAACCCAACGAGCACCCGCTCACCAGCTGTCGGATTTTTCACTTTGAGGGGAGAAGGAGATAAGCGTTAGATAATACAGCAATAATCCCAAATGCTTAACTGTGAATAGTGGAATGTTAGGGATGTAGTTAGGTAGTCTCGAGTTTTGCTTGCAGCACCAGCGTACTCATAATCACACATAAAAACATTTTTAGTACTAGGCCTTATACAAGGGTCTATTATAGTAAGAGTCTGTGTACTGTCTGGAACAGATTTCTCCAGTGTAAAAGGAGAAAACAACAAAGATCACTAACTAGAACACAGGTTTTATGACGAGAATTGGAGAGCAGAGCTGTGAGTGTTACAAGCTTGGCTGATACTCTTCAGATTGCTTGGCACAAACTACGGCCGTCGTAATAAACAATACAAGCGTCCTAGTTCGCTGT